TTTTTTTGGGTTTTTTTTTTTTTTTTTTTTTTTTTCCCCTTTTTTCCCCCCCCTTTTTTTTTTTTTTTTTTTTTTTTTTCCTTTTCTTTTGTTTCTGCTGTAGTTTGCTTTGGAAAAGACATAAAATGCCTCTGGCTCCTTCAGGAAAGGATTGGTGATGGTGTGTAAATTCAAGTTACTATTACTATTTCCAAAACTGGGATTTTATTTCCCTGAAGAGGCTGAGATTTAAAACTGGATAAGAAAATATAATTTAGAGTGATCTTGATGCATGTCCCAACTACAGTTAAAACACTCAGTTGATATTATCTGGTTTCTGTGTTATTCACTACAGCTGGGGATGGCTATAGGTAAAGGAAACAACTTTAAGTTAATAAAAAGGCACATTAAACATGGGGAATGGGATCTGCTCATTATGAAAGGACTGAACTTTATTTTAGAAGGAAATAGTGTGATTTTCTTACGCGGTACATTGTTGTGCATTGAATTTAATAATGGGAGAAATAGCTGCAAAGAAAATGGCATCTTTTAAAGAGATAATGTAAAGGATTGGATAGCTAACTGTGTTTGAAATCTTGGAGCACTTCAGCATATATGTCTGTTTTAATTGTAACTTCAACTAGAATACCAGCATTTGCTCAACTTACAGTGAAAGAGAAATAGTGTAATTCTCCATTCTTGAAAGGTCTTTTTCCAAATCACAGTCTTCTGGAAATCAACTCAGTTCAGCTGAGCAACAGAGCAGCTATGTAAGCCCCTTGCCCATGTGTTATTTTCAAAGCTTCTAAATTCCAATGTATTATCACTGTTTTCTCTTTCTTGAAAACAAAGACAAATATTATATTTTATAATATTATACCAAATTAATATCTTACATAAAAATATTGCCTCTTCTAAATTTTTTTTGTATGTCAAAATTATTTAATGTCAATGTCCTAATTTTTCAGAGTCTCATTTTCTGCTGATTGCAGTGAAATTAATAGAAAAACAAGTCAGGAATATCTTCAATAAAATAAGTTAATTCATCTAAGAATATGGATATTTAGTCTAATATGAAAATATTTTTGTAAGAATATTTTCCAGCACTATAGAAAGCAAACCATGATTTGCAGGATTAACTCTGGCTAGGTTATTCAGATACACCTTAGCAATTTTATCTCATTTTTTTCTTAAAAAAAATTTTTAATAAAAAACATTATCATAAACTGGGGAAATTTACTCAGTGTTCACTTTTGAAGCCCTTCTTTAGGTTAGGTGACAGTGACTTACCTGTGTAGGCACATTAATTTTAGTGGAACACTGATTTGAATTGTGGTATCGTCATTTTTCTTGTTGATCCTGTAGCACTGAATTGCAGCTTCAGAATTTAGCTCTAATTTAGTAATTACAATTTCTACAAAAATATTACTTAAGTTTATCAATTTTAAAACCTAAAGAACCTCCTGTTTTTTTACTTAGATAATTTAGTAATGCCATTTTCCTAAATGATACTTCTATTTCACGCCTGCTGCTGCTGTTTTACTTGGAAAATTTGTTTGCTCTTCCCTAGGGATCCCATATGTTGGCTTGATTTATAAATCATATTTAATCTCCAATTATAAAGGGAGACTTAGCATGTTTGCTTCCTTGATGTTTGCAGTTTGTGTTTGATTGCTCCTCATCCTGTCATAATCGTTTTAACTGATTATCTGCATGTCCCTAAAAATGAGATATCCTCTGGATTTTTATGCTGATTTGCTCTTCTGATTGAAGGACTAGATATTTTTCTTCCTGCTATGCTTTCTCTCGCTGTGGAAAGAACAACTGCTGCAATAGCTTCTTCATGATTGTGTTTTCAGGCCATTTGGAAAAGATTCATCATTTCCAGAAAATATCTGAAGGTTTTAATTTTGAAAACCAGCAGCGAGAAGGTGTCTGTGTGTCTGTGCGGGGCTGCGGCAGCGTCTCTGCAGAGAAAGCTGCTGCCAGCCCTCACTGTGCTCCCAGGAGCTGCTCCCCGGTACCTCTGCTGGCTGGTTTCAGTCGCTCTTGGGGAAGGGCTGTGCTGCAGGATCAAGGCAATGTGCTGAGCTTGCTGATCCAAGCACAGGAAGGATTCATTCCATCCAAGTCAGTGTTAGAATTGCGAGATACAAACGAAAACAGCGACCTTATTCACCAGAGGTGTGTCCCTTAAGCCGTGACACAGACTGAACTTCTGATGACTGCAGCAGGGGATTTTGGGCTGAGTCACTGTCCAAGCTCATTCAGGCTGCTGAATTAGGTAACTCGAATTTGAAGGTTATGCTGTTTCTCCAGATTTTTTTTTTTAAATAGTAATTTAGAATACTTCTACAAAGCCTGCATTCTTAGTCCATGCAATACATCAACTATTTAACTAAATATTGTAGCAACTATATTATAATTTATATTAATTTATATTAATTTAATGGCCAAGTCATTTAAATAATTGTAAATAATAAAAAAAAGAAAAATAATTTGCATTCTTTTGGACATCTGCTTTAGAGTTAGACTATAAAATTGAGGTGGCAGCCACCTGTGGCATCTAATGCGCTCTTGTTTGTATTCACATAAAACTGAAATGAGATCCTTTACATTATTGCCATTAATGATAGCTAACATAAATACCGGTCTGTGATTTCAAATATTACAATTCTGGATCATTTTTCTGAAACATTTAGAAGCAACATGGGAAGAGAACATGGGAGATGAACTAATTTTGATACTGAGAGAACACATATCTAGCAAGCAAAAGTCAGAGAAGAAAAAGTAGGGAAGGGAACAAAACAAAATAATATCAATTCACTAAAATATATAATTAGAATGTATACCATGAGGACCAAAAGTGAAATTTATCTTGCATGTTTCTCTGATTCTTCTGTGACCAAGGTAGAAAAAAACCAAAATCAGGTAGTTTGTCTGACACGGATTGACTGGGAAGTTTGTCCAGAAATCTTGTATCCTTGTCTCTTCTTACCACGAAGGAGAGAGGAGGCCGAAGATCTGCAACACGTTATACAAGCATAGCCTTCAAAACAGATATCAAGGTGTATGTGGTGGTTACCTCTGGTTGTGAAAGAATTGTTCTGACTTTTAGGAGTTCATGCAGCTAACGGAAATTACTTATTCCAAAGACATTCCCACATTAGCTTGGTTCTAGACTTGCTTTTCATCCACCCACTCCCTCTGTGTTGCAAACCACAAACAGACTGAAAACAATGACAAAAAAAGATTTCTCTAGTTAGTATTGTATATAAAGTGACCAAAACTAAAGATTCCATCTGTTAAAACATACTACTCAACCAACTCCTTTACTAGTGAAAATATGTGCAGTCTGCCTGTTTCAGCAGTACCATATTGTGTGACCTAAAGCTTTATGTCCACCCTGGTTTTGATTTCTCACCTCAATATTCCTTTTACTGTCACTGGCAGGTATCAGCAGGAACTTGGCAGAAAGGCACCAGACCCAGCTTGTGATCCTGACCCAATTACTCTTGTTTTGCTGGTAGCTTTGCAAGAACAGGTTTAAGTGAATTGTGAGTTGGTGGGAGGTTGTGTGTTCTAGGTTTCAAATGCAGCTCTAAAATTTGGAAATACTTATTCCACCAGTTGTCTGAAAACATTGATAGAAGCAGCAATTGAGAGCAAAAGTTCCTCTCTGATCTTTGTAGAAGCCAGAAAGTAGGCCCTTTCAAATGGGAACCCTTATCTCTTACACAGCAGAGGTTCTTGTTCAGCTACAACTAAATGTTTGTTTGTTTGCTTAAAAAAATTAGATTTCCCTTGAAAAACGATGGTTCAAATTAAGAAAAAAAATATTTATAAAACTTAAAAGCCAGGTTCAAGAACCTCTGCACTTAAAACAAATTCTTAGGGTCTTAAAAATCCATAAACACCATGGGGTTCTTGCACTCCTAATTACGAATGTTTAGATTTTGCTGTTCATTTCCTCTGATTGAAATACTGCAGGATGAATTATTCATCCAGTATATACAGGGTCATGGAACTTAATCCCCTCCATTTATTTTAAGTGAATGTCATGTTTGCAAAAAGTGCCAGATTGACAGACATGATTCAACCCTTCTGATAACCTACACTTTGTATCTAAGGCTGCTTGGAAATAAAAACACTTGTGACAAGACTATTAGGTCAAGTCTTTCGCAGATAAAAGTCGGACATGAAAATTTGGGTGTTGGGGTTGTTTTTTGGTGGTTTTTTTTGGAGTAACATACTATAAAATCATGTAGAGTGAGATTTTCTCTATCCCTTCATCTTTTAATTCAGGTCAGAGGAAGGCTCTGACTGCTTTGTGGGTATGGCTCAAACCTCCCCTGAGGCAGAATTGCTGTCTGTGCTGGGCCAGTTCCTACCCATCCCAGTGCTGCCTGCTTGGCTGAGGGCATCTGTGGCATCCACAGAATCAGGGTTTTGAGTGGTAAAGCTTTGTAGCAGTGCAACAAAAATAAGAATGATTCACCAGTTCAGTGAGGCAGTGATGACAGACACCATTGGTGGCCTGTGACAGGTTGCAGCTGGTGGTCCCTACACAACTGTCTCCATATCCTGCCCTCAGTAGTTGGGGCAAGATCTTTCTGACATTCAGAATAGACTATAAAAACAACAGTTCTCACAACTTTGTTTTGAATAAGAGTGTTTGTGTGTGTAAAAAGGTTGTTCTGGCTGCTATAAATGTGCGTAGGTATTCTTTGAAAATAAGCTTTTACAAAAACTAGTGAATCTGTAGTCAATTTCCATCTATTTTATCAACAACAACCCAAGTGGCATTTACAGTATGATTCAATAGGAAACCTGGGCTTCTTCATGAGTTATAATTTGAAGACTTTGTGCCATAAGGCCACAGAACATATGTGTGATTGGATCAAATATTCATCAACAAGCCTGCTGACAAAGTATTTATCAATAATGTCTGCATTAATGTGAGGTGTTCAGGAGCTCAGATTTGCCTCAGATCATGCAAAGTCATCTGCTTATGGTTGTTGAGGAACCCCTGGTGGCCTTGTCTGTAGGAGATTGAGTAGACCAGGACATGGGCTGGAACATTGGTGGACCAGCCCATGAGATGCCTTGTTGGCACATTGCCTGGCACTGATCTACCCTGTACCCACTAACACATCCTTCCCAAAGCACAGCTAAGGGTTCCCAGAACATGAGCACTCATAAAGAGGAATCCTACTTAAAATGGGGCTTCCAGGCACAGCCTTGAACCCACTGCTTGGTACCAGCCTCCTTGGGAGTGGGAAAGCCTGAGGAACAGGGTGGATTCACAGAGTCCAAAAAACCTCTTTTGAGGTCTAGAAGCTGGTTTGTGCTGTCTCAATGGCTATGAGATTTCAGGGATTTGTCTCATATATTTTCTTCTTCCAGCACCCACTCCTTCAGGATTTCTGTACTCCTCTGTGCAGAATATGTTTGTGTTGTGGCTCTTGATATGCCAGCATTACAACCTGGCTTCAATGGCTCTACTGCACCTGTGCAAAAGTTTTTGTTGGTGCTTGTTACAAAAAACAGAGGTGCTCATTCTTGTTTCATGTTTGCACATTGGAAAAGCTTTTTAGGGCCACACTTTTTATTTCCAGTAAATTCAATGACATACTTTTCCATGTGATTCAAGAATTGTACTGATTTGCAGTGCAATTATTTGCAGGTTTGTATTAATTAGTATTGTTGCAAACACTGATATTTAAAGCTGAGGTTAAAGTGTAATCCTGAGTCACAGAAGGGGGCACGTAATACAAGTTACTGGTCAGATCTCATATTTGGATTTTCAAAAGAATAAGGCAAGTTCAGCTTCAACAAAGAATTTATCTATTTTGAATGACAATTATGTTGCTGCTGCAGCTGTATGTTTTGTACTAATTAATAGTCCTATTGGAATCTTGAGGCCAGGATCCCATTGCTGTCTCCTGCTGCTTTAGATTGCTGTACAGGTTTATATTGATGGAGTCCAGCAGAATTGCTGCTCTGTTTCCCAAATGATAATGAGAGGACAGTTAGACAGTGGAACTGTGAGCTACATGGGTAGGAAACTCATGAGCCTGAAAATAGACCAGTGCCCTTTTTGAAGGTAAATACTGGAAATCAGGCAGGTGCAATCCAGGCAGAAATTGAACAAGTGAAATATTAACACCATGTGAAGTTTTAGCAGAAACAAAAGTCTGTTTCATTTTTGAGCTTTGCACTATTCAGGTTGTGTCCAGTTGTACCATGTGATGATGCTACAGGATTTGATGAATCAATACACTTCTTTCATATCCAGATAGGAAACATTTTTGAGAAAAAATGTCACCCCAAATCCTAAAACAAACACCACACAAATTGAAACTTAAGCAAGATAAATGATCTTGGTTTGTACCTGTTGCGCTGAAGAAATATTTATGGGTGTGAAATAAACCACCAAACACTTTTTATTTGAATAAGGAGTCAATAATTGTGAAATCATAGCATAGCTGACTGAAGGACTCTCCCTTCTCTATTTAAATAGAAACCCTTCTCTCCAGCCTACAGAAGGACCTAGGAAAATAGCTTGCAGGAAAGAACCCAGCCCTGCAATTGTTTCATGCACAGAAGCCCTGTTGAAACCAGGAGAAGCTATGAGCAAAGAACATTTGCAAGTTTTTTATCCCAAGTATCTAGAAAACAGATTTTTAAAAGTCACCATCAATACTACTACTACTAAAGTTGTGACTCATGCTCTGAACAAACAGTTACCAAAGAGTTTAAGATGTTCCACCTCCCCCAGCTGCTGTTACCCCTTCACTCTGGGGAGTGTTGCTTTCAGATCTGTGCCCACACCTGCCTATGGCAGCTCAGGCTGAGCCCACCCTCCTTTGGGGCCAGGAAGGGTGAGGCACAGGGATGGGTCTGTCTCTCCTGCCGCTGGGATGGCTGTGGTCACTGCATACCCAGGTTAAACTGCCACAGCACCACCCAGCAGGGCTTGCAACAGTGACAACACTTTGTGTGAAATTTGGGAAAGGTAGGTAAATGTAGCAGTTCATCTACTCCAACCTGTGGAAATCATTGCCAAGTGCATCAAGGTGCTCAGTGAGAGAGAAGGGAGAGACTCATTACAAATCCCTCCAGTAGCTCTCAAGTGTAATGATCAGACACAAACATGGGCTTTGAGGAGTCCATGAACAACAGCTTGCAGGAAGGCAGGCAGGTGCACAGGGGCCTTAGCAGTTCCTGCCCCGCTCTTGTTGTGTGTTTCCTCATCATCTGCTTGTGGTCCCTGTCTGGGACAGGTTGCTGGGAGAGGTGTGAAGCACTGATCACAGTGGGGTAGCTGGTCTTAAAAGCAAAGCAGAAGGGGCCACTGAGCCCCTGAAATTCAGGGAGATGGTTATGGATTTCTCTCTCGGTGCCCTCGCTGGTCCTGGTTTTGGTACAAAGCCCCAGCAGCATCTGAGGGCAGTTATTTTATGCCAGATCCAATGTGTCTTACTCTCTTAGAAATCCTTTTCCTTTCCCTCTCCTTTCAGGCACCCAATGGCCTCCCGGCCGTCAGCAGTTTCGTGTCCGCACCAGCCATGCCCGCCTACGCCACACCGGCCCAAGTGTCACCTTACATGACGTACAGCGCCGCTCCATCCAGCTACATGGCGAGCCACGGCTGGCAGCACGCCGGGGGCACCCCGCTGTCCCCTCACAGCTGCGACATCCCCGCCTCGCTGGCCTTCAAGGGCATGCAGACTGCCAGGGAGGGCGGCCACTCTGTCACGGCCTCCGCTCTCTGATGCAGGAGCTGGTCCGGGAGCACCGTGAGCTCGATGGCTCCTTGGCCCCCGAGCCCAGCTCACGGACTGCTCCCTTCATGCTGGCCACACCTGGCACTTCTCCTCGTGACTTGTCTCCCCTAAGGCTTTTGGGATTAAAGAGCTGAAGGCAACATCAGAAACTGAGAGAAGTGTGGTGTTGCGCTCTTAAAGACTTTGTGTCCCTCAAAGGGCTCGTGGAGCCTTGTTCCACTCTCTCCTGGTCAAACCACACATATTTATTCTTAATCATCACAAACTTTCTAAATGTGCAATCGTTACTAAGATTTGTGCAAAAATCAATAAAGAAAAATCACCACAGAAAATTCTGCTATGCCTTGAATCAGCAGAGGTGGCTGAATGGGAAGTGTTTGCCAAATGCCTAGAGAACAACCCTTTAATTGATAAGATTATACAATCCACTGTTATTATGAGGTCCTTTGTTGTTGTTTTATTGGGTTTTGGTAATCAAATATAGAATGAAGGCAATAGGTGGCTTTCAGATTCTTCTGGCATGTTGCCATCGTCAGGCAGTAGTCAGATCTTTGTGATTTTATCCATTTGTAAATAGAGGCTTTTGACAGCATTTGTTTTCACCTTCCAGTACATTTCTTACCTTTTTCTTTTTTTTTTTTTTTTTTTTTAAAGTTAAGAATATTTCTAGTTATTTTCTATGTCTTTGCATGGTGGGGTGATAGGTGATGAGGTTTAGGTAGGTGTTTTTGGTCATGTTTTTGTGCCCACAGTGGAGGCTTCATCATCCTATGAGATAATTATCTCTTTGGCAGAAGAGCCAAAGGCAGGAATCCAGTTAAGTAACTCTCCAGTTATACCCAACCTCCCAGATTCATGAAACACCACATTCATATGAAGTATACAAACAGAAATATGGGTGGAAAATACCTGAATAAAACAGAAAACTGTAGAGGAAAATGCTGTTAGTGTGCAAGCTGTGCAAAGATGCTTAAAAAGCCCTATCAGTCAAAAACTCCACTGAGAAACAGAATTGTACCCTTATTCTCAGCTCATTTGTTCCAGATATGTTGTAATTTTTAAAGAGGACCTTGTCTTTAATTTCTGCTTTAATGAATGTAAAGTATGGCTCTTGGTAAAGTTTACATTATTGTTCTGAAGCATTTTTTGTCCCCTTATAAGTATACTGGTGGTGGTGCTACAAACAGAGATATTATTTAATATTAGCAAATTTCCTTTCTACATTTCTGTATGCAGTGGCAAGTACTCCATGCCAGATATTTTGCTTTAAACTTTAATCCCAAGAGAGCTAAAATTCTGATTTTTTGAAAATTTACATGTTTTCCTTGGGTAATAATAAAGTTCTGACTATTATTATACTTTTCCCATGCTGTAGGTATGTTCAGAATATGAATGTGGAAAAAAAAAAAAAAGCCTGGTGTGACATTTCATATCCATCATAGACTATTAATATATTGTGTATTTTTAAAAGTGTTTTGCAATAACTTAAATTACTGTAGACATAGTTAAAGCAAAGGAGAAAATACTATTCTTCATATATTGTTCTATCTGCATCCCATATTAAACACTAATTCAGTGAGAAAGTAAAATACATTTCCCCCTTAAAATATAGTTATCTTTTTGTGGATTTTCAGCTTTTGTCACCAAGACAGCTGTGGGTAAATTTTCGTAACAATCTAAGTAATCAGTATTTATGTCATGTACAGTGTATCCACTGAAATATGGATGGACTTCTCTGGCTGCCGCCACCTTTGCTTCTTGCACTAAAAAATTGTTAACAGAACTACATTTCTGTAAAGAACACAGATATTGTATTTTGGCCCCAAGGAAACAAAGATCTGATCTTGGATGTGATTAATTTTCTTCAGCCTCAAAGGTATCCAACAGCTGTTTAGCTTTAATGAGATGCTGAAATCCTCGTTATTCAGTAGAACACTTTTTCAAGAATGTTTCTTTGAAACCACTAAAGTTAAAGTGCACACAAGAGCATTTCCACTCTGCCACACTGTTAGTGACATGATGGATGCTCTTCTGCGTTTTTGCTGTTATAGCTGAAATAAGGTGAGCCTTAATACCATGAAAAAGAAATAATAATTTAATTTAATACCAGGCAAGCTCTTCACTAAAGACAAAATGGGGAAAAAATAAGAAAAAGATCACAAGTAGATAAGTGATTAAGTTGGCAGGAGGATTTTAGCTTTCAACTTAGTTGTTCTACTGGATTACAGAATTACTGAGTGAGTCTACCTATTGTTTTCCATAGAACTCAAACAAGGGGCACCAAAGGGAAAAGAAAACAAAAAATGAAGGAAGAGAAACTTTTCAAAGCACAGCTTTTTTGAGCTTCAAGACTTTGCGAGCCTGTAACAAAGTGTGCCTGTGTTAAAAATTTTCCAAATTTTCTTGAGTAATGTGAGGTCATTTCTGGAATAAAAGTTGTCTTTCCTGACATTCCAATGAGGAATTAGTGTGTTTTGGGAGACAGAGAGACAGATCCTTAGCTTGTATCAGTTATTTTCATTATCTTCAGCTAAATTAGGATAATTTATAAAACAAGGATGGGACATTATGTTAATTATTCTTCCCATGGGATACACCATCTTAAACCATTTTTGTTTGTGTTTGTTTAGGTACAGCTCTCCGCGCATCTGCCTGCTGTACATGATTCCTTACCCCTGAATGGGAAGTCAGCGGGGCCGCATGCAGAAAGTGTTGCTCAGAGTGAGCAACAGTGCCTGACCTTGGCTCTTGGTGAACTGCCTGTCATGGATTTTTTTTGGTGTGAAATTTCACATTTTTTTTTTAAATGCAGACTTCCGATGTAGAACAATCCTTTGCCCAAGGACTATTTCACTGCTTATACTCACGGGTAAACCGAAAACTGCAACATGTTCACTTATCACACAACTCTAAACCATTTTACATTAAATTAAAAAGAAAAAGGGAATTGTTTCCTAAAAAAAATAAATAAGGGTTAACTGCTGCTGTGAAGTACCCAGGTATAAATCTGGAGTGAACCCACTGAGGTGAATGGATACTTTTGGGAAATATTCTGTATATGTGGGTGCAGAATTAATTTTTTTAGTCTGAAAAGTCTACACTTCATTCCCAGAATGTTAAATGTTTCCAAAGAAATCAGTGAAGCCTAATAATACTCCCTTCAACTCAACTGTGTTTGCATGGTCCCAGTCCAGAAGATCTTTGGTGTAAAACAGAATTTCAGCCCACATTACATGAGGAGTTAATGGGGCATTGGGCTGGCATGTTCATAGGTTTGTTTTCCCATATCATGCTGTTTTCTGTTTTTGAATGTTTCTCCTTTTATCCAAGATCAGGCTGAGCTATTAACTGAAAAAAATCATGTTGGAAAGGATGTAAAACCAAAGGCTATATATGTATATACAGTATGTTTAAAGCATTTTATTTTTATATTTTGAATGCTCTAAATTAATAAAAGACAAATTATAAAGCATTTTGCTTTAGGTTTCTGAAATTATCTTGGTAGTGTCTTCTCTTTGGCCAAGTACTGATAATAAAATGCAACAACGAGGAACACTTGCCTTAAAAACATAAAGTTTAACAGAGCTAATTTTATTGATTTTTAGCTATGAAATAGCATAGGTATGAAAAGCCACTGTTGCCAAATTCAGACAAAAGAGAGGCTTATTGAGCATGTTAATACAGGCATTCTTTAAAGCGCTGAAAACACATTTCTATTTTTAGCTTTTTGTTGCTTTTCCAATGCATTAAATACTTGTGAGATGAGACTTCACATGTGAACTGACATTTTCAAGTAGCAATGCAGAAAGGTACTTTAGGATTGCCAAGGTAGAGGTTTGTACCTTCTTCAGAGGAAGAATATTATTGCTAACAGAGTGAATGTCGTATGGGGGAGATACTGAAACTTTGCAAGATATATGCTCGTTTGACAACAAACCAAGTTACATAATGAAGACATTTTATGTATATATATATATATATATATATTTATACATAAAATATTTTTTAACAGAATAATGCAAGATTTAAAATTATTTAAGGAGTTTTTTAAGAGAAAATGTAGAATGGCACAACTGCATGAACAGAAACTATGTCTTCAGTCAGCATAGCAGAATTTACTGTATTTGATGGAGTTGGAATGGCGAGTAAGAACGCAAGTATATCCCTGGAATATTTATATTTACAGTGACTGGGAAAAGGAAAAATTTTAGCTTTAGAGCAACTTTTTTTATCTACAGAAGGGTGCATTTCTTCGAGGGGTACAGCTAGCTACATACAACTGCAGATGTGCTACCTTGTTTCACCATTCCATGGTGGAAATGAAAGGCTAAAGGGGCAGTCAGGGGGCACTGAGCATTTTTATCACAGGACAGCTCTTTTGGGATAGTATATTAAAGTGGATAAAAGTTTTGCAGTAAAATCTCATATGCCTAAAATGACTTCTTTCTGCTAATTTATTTACTCATTTCTTCTATGAATCCCATGTTGGTTTGTTTTTTTATGCAACTTGATGCATACTAATTACTTTCAGTACCTTTGATCTGAATGAGATTTATATAATATATATGGCTAAGAACAAGTAGGATATTTAGCACTATGCATGTTTTTAAGGTTGTGGCTACTTGTGCTTGTCCTTTTCTATCCAAACTCCAAAGAATTTGAAAAGCTTTTATTGGAATGCTGAAATCATACTGGGCTGAACTGAAACTGGACCCAAGAGTGACTGAAGAGTTGCAGAGTATGGATAATTTTTTTAATGTGGAGTCAACGGAGCTGTCAGTTTACATTAGCTTAGTATCTGCCCCCCCCCGCCTCCAGCGTTATTCCTTTTTTTCCTTTTTTCAAGTACCCTGATAGTTTTTATCTTGCCATTTCAGCTGAAACTTTTAAAAAAGTATGTGATTACATAGGATGATTGTGTGTCAAGAAATTTCAGTTTGTCCTTTAAAAACTCAGTTTTAAGTTTGCTTTATATTTTCTCTTGGTCCAGCAAAACCATTACAAATGTCAAGTGCTATTTAATTATGCACTTACAGAAAAACATGCATTTAAATGTTTTCTTGGATCAGGACCTAGAGACCATATTTGTTTGGAATTGTATTAACATCAGTGCAATCTGAGGGTATTCAACACTATAAAGGATAAGAATCACTTTTGCTTTATTATAGTGTATTTTAGAATGCATGCAGTTTTAAAGAGTACATTTTTCAGAAATGCTCCTTGTGATTAACTGTGTCCTGAAGCCATGCATAAACGTATTCGTAAACCAAAAGCATCACTGCACCACCTGGAAGAAAAGATATTATTTTACTATGTAGAAAATCCAGTATTTTCAAAATTTTATAGAGCATTTCTAGTGTAACATAAACAAGAATATGGCAAAACCTTATTTACAAAATGAATAAGTCTATTTCCTGAGTTCACTAAAAATTCACCAATTCATAAACCATAGCAGTTTTACTTAATATTAGATCTTAAAGTTGATGTAAATAGCTTTTATATTAAATCAAATTCACTCTCAGTGTGATTTTTCCTAATACTTTTTCAAGATTAATGTTTTCCTTTGTTCTTTTAAAAGTGAAACTTTTAGTCTGAATATATGTATATTTGTGTGCCTGTTTAACAAGATTTGGCCATGAAAGAGCAACTTGACTGGTGGAATGGCAAAAATTCATCTTCAGGATGATAAGAACACTTCCAGGTAAGAGTCAAGAGAGGTTTTTACCTGTTTTTTCACTATGTCTAAAGCAGAAAATCACAGTGTGGAAGTGAGTATAATCTTCCCTGGCTACAAATCCACAGGTGAAGTTTTGATCTAATGAAATGGCATTATTTGCTAGAATTGGTAACAGTATAAAATCCCAGTTTGAAAGCCATAAAATATCTTTACTGTTAGTGAAGCCAGACTGTAACTGGGTTGTGAGAGATTAAAAAAGGGAACATTTATATATATAACTAAACACATAGAGAAGCTTCTAGTTGGAGAACATGGATAAAGGGAACCAGACTGCATGAGTAAAAATATATTATTTGTGAGTGCCTGCACTGTGGCATAAGTATCTTCTTGCCTTTGCCTTTGCCTGTTGGTGCAGTTGGCAGCTTGGAGTGGCATCTCTAACAAATGAGGCTTCTGCTGAACTGGACTCACCTTTCTAGGGATAGGCTAAGACAACCAGGCACACAGAATTACTCCATCAGTTTCTCCATATCATTTATCCTAAGGAACCATCACCAGACTTGAAATTCTCAATGAAAAGGAACTCACAGAAAGCTAGACAGAGCAGATGTTTGCAAAAGGCTTTGACGGACAAACAAATCATAGACACAATGTCTAAGATGTGATCTGAACCCAAATCAAGGCTGAGTCCAAATCTCATACTGTGTGATTTGTTTGTGTATCTCTTTTCCTGTAAACACTCACATGTTAGAAGAAGGAATTACCTTCCAGTCATAATAAAGACTGTATTATTGTTTCATCAGAAAGTTAAACCTATATGTTAGTTAGCCAATATAACTACAGAAGTATTTAGAATGAAGTTCACATGTAACTGACTTGCTGGATGTGGGCCAGAATGCATAGTCATCTGTAAGATGGAAAATCTTATTCCAAAATCTGCTATGCTAAGAGGTACTGGGAAAGCTAAACACTGCCTTCTCTTTGTCTTGTATGTAATCTAGTATCTTTGGAGTGTGAGGGAAAAGGCTTTTAGCTCCAGAGCTCCTTGTTTCCCCTCCCCACCTTCTTCCTCGCCCTGCACAACAACCAGGCATGGTCTAGTACTTAGCCAGATGGATTGGATACGCAAACATTTACAGACAAACCTAATGCCTCCTTTATACTGCAGAACAGGCTCTGTACCTACTTGCTTTACCTATGTGTGTTCTTGCATATTAAACAACCAGCTTGAACAACTGGAAATACAATTTCATGGGAATGGGATACTGTTCAAATTGGGACTTCTGCTCTTTTTGATGCAGACTGCCTTTGTGGGCTGACAAAGTCTGAGGGCCCAGTGCTTTGCTTTCATGGTTAATCAAAACCAGTCAGGAAAAAAACAACTCTAAAAGCCAAAGAAGATACAGCTTTCAATCACTGTGCTCCCACATTTGGAGTAATAATTGGTAAGAAGTGGTCAAGGAACAACCCCAGTTTTAAGATATCCTTGTTCTCTTAGTTTTCCAGGGCCATACAAGTCTCTTCCCAACTCTGCTATCAGCTTTTTAGTGTCTGCCCCCATAGAGCATAAGAGAAGTAAGTAACTGGAATTTGATATGCTTGGGCTGTGCCTTGACTAGTTGAGTGCATTTTATGGAGAGACTCTAACCTGCATTTAGGCTGACTTCACATAGGTATGGAATAGCGCTAATGAACTCAAAAGATCACATTAGGAGGAATAGGAAACTTAAAGAAACTTCCAAGAGTGTTACAGTTCTGTCATTTGCATGTACTTTGGTTTGGTCATAAATAAAACAGTTGCACGAACCAGCACTTACTTGGATCCGCAATTCTCTGATGCATATGTGTAAATTATTTTTTTTAGACACATATTTAGCCAAATCCATTTGTGATACTACTAGATGATGCTATTTTAAAAAGAAACCATTCAAAGTGAAAGATATTTTGATTCATTTATTTGACTGATATTTACTACATTTTCTCAAGAAACTGTAAAAATGGGAAGAGAAAGCCAGAACAAAAGCAAAACAGAAATGACAGAAGGAAAATTACCTGGACCGAGCCTCATGATCTTGGGAAGCAAGCCTTTGTACAGAGCCAGAAATCTGTAGCAGAAGAATAACAAACAAAACATTTCAAACAATATTCTTGCTCTAAAAGAAGAACGAAATTGTAGCATATGTTTGTTAAAATGCTGGCAGAGCACTTAGAGGCAATTATTTGAAATTACACATGTTCAATAGCAGGCTGTATCTGGATTTTAACATTTTACAGAGGCAGATCAGATGAAGAGAAAAAGTTAATCAATGTTCAGTCACAAAAGCAATGTTGTGAGCTTAGCCAATCAGAAATATGACTTTAATCAGTGAGATGGGTTTACTTTCAAGACAAGTCTGTTAACAACAGCTGCATATAGGGACAAAATGACTGATATAATTGAATATCAAAGCCACAACTCAGTCACCACTTGAGAAATATTTTTAAAAGTTGGAAAATGTTATTACCACAAGGATCTGTCTCCAGTTTAATTATTTCAGCTATAATTTTAAAGGTACAGAGGCCTGCATAATTAAAATTAGATTAAATTGAGAAATAATATGTTTTCTGTTCATATTTTCCTTTTACAAAATGAAGAGTTAAAAAAATTACAGATGAGATATATGAAGCATTTACTTGGGGAACATAAATTTTGACAATGTGATAATCATTTTGTAACTCTCTTGTAGAAGCTCATATGTAGTAGGAAGATATGTCCTTGTAATTCTAAAATAAATTTTCAAAATGCTACATTGGGCTCTTTTGATAAGTGAGTTCAGGGTGGCTTAGTGGTCCTCATCAAATTTGAAATACAACAATGTGGTTTTATGGGCCCATACGAACTAAAACAGAGGTCTGGACATTTATTAAAATAAGAATGTTTTACCCTTCCTCTTTATAGACTGTTGCCATAGTTTTAAAACAGGTTCTGTACTTGATCTCTCCAGGAACTGGCTGTGGTCCTTGAATCCTACTTTTTGCAACATCAAAAGGAATGTTAATAATTGAGGCTATTGTTCCTGAGACTAACCCAATTCCAAATTTCCTCAAAAACTCCAAATTTGGATCCTACAAAAAAAAAAAAAAAGAAAAAAAAAGGAAAGAAAGAATAAAAAGGGAAATGGAAAGACCTGTGCAGGTTAAGCACTATAAAGTAATAAGCATTTAATCAGAAAACTCACACAACACACTCGTGTTATTTTAGCGGAACACATTAGGATTTCCTATGCTGGAACTTGTTTTCTTGACAATCCTATTGGCTATGTTTTTACACATGGTCTAAATTGCTGAAGTACACATTTCCTCACACAGGATTTATAAACACAGTTCATAAAGAAAGACTGGTATGGCATATGGGGATGATTTGTATAATTGGGCTTCACAATGTACTTAGTATTACTGTATCAAAACAGGAGAAATCCAAGCACACTATTAGCTAATTGGCCAGAATATTTTACAAATGACAGCAACTTCCACCATGAAGCCTACTAAAACACTCATTTGTGTGTTGGACCCCCAAATGCTAAATTAAATAAAGACTAATCTCAGTCTGCTGCCATTCCCCTCCAGGTTTTTTACATTTATTTTCACATGTAGCTGATCCACTGTACTGAGAAGTGCTAGCTTCCTGTTATTAACAATCCAACTCGGCACAACGGCAAGAGAGCCTCCACGTTCTGCGCATTATAAACGGTGGTAATTCACTCAGCTAATTGGCTGAAGAATTTACAACAGATTGTTTCTGAACCCTACTATATGCACACGGTAAAAGTTAGAAGTAGGTTAGAAGTGCATCTAAAAATTTCTTTGCTCACTCACAGTCCACAGTTCAACTGGGTTTTATTTGATCTTTTAGAAAGACCTCCTACTTTGGCATTTCTATGACATCAAAGAACCCAGAGTTTATCTGGGAGTCAAAGTCCCTTGAAGAAGGTTTAATCCTATTTCTCTAAGTAGGAAGTCACAGGCAAGCGTGTTCCAGAACATTTCCTATGCACATAATTTGGTTTTGCTTCGGTTTTTAACAGAAGGACACTTTTTTGCTACATCAGATTCTTTATATGGAGCTTACTTATGTCACGAAGGTGCTTTAATTATAGAAAATCATTATTAAAATAACAAATGATCTTGCCGTGTATAACATTGGCACAATGTTAAAATATGACAGTTTTTTGTTTCCTAAACCTATATGTTTTTAAATGAAACAGAAACCAAGAAAGAAGTTTTCATTTCCAGATTATCGATAAGAAAATAAATTAAAACTTCCATAATATACATTGAATGAAGCCCATACAGGTGTTAAGAAAGAAATGTCAAATCAACAGAGCCCTTTATTACTTGCAGAAAAACTCATACCTCGATTTAACAAAACATGAAACATACTGATAATAACTTAAAAATTAGAATCGGTTGTGGTACAAGAATAGTAGTCCTTTTTTAGCAAAGATCTTAGCAAAAAATTTCTGTTCATTCTGTACATACAGTGATTTAAATGCAAATAAAATAAAGCCCATGTTTCTGGTATCTAGAGAAGAAAAGAAGACCCCTTTTGCCCATTCACAAAACTGGACTCTAACCAAATGTACCATAGTCAACACCTGCTTTGCTATAACTTGATTTTTTTAATCATAAACCTCATGGGCAAGGTTTTTCTATGAAATTCATCACTGTAATATCTGGATAATTTAATTAGTATAAAGATTCAATATAAATTTATGTGTCAAAAATTAAAAGTAATTTTTTTCAAAAAGCTGAGCTTATTCCACTACTCCTTCTGATCTAGTCTTCTCCTAAATCAGCTTGGCTTACTAGTTTTTCAAGTCCATTGCACCACATGCACTTTTCACTCTCTATTCCTATACAGAACTTCTCTGTTGGCATGGATCTGAAAGGTACTAAAATAAAACTATTGTCTGCTATTTTGCTTACTCACCAAGCTGAGTAGCCCATTTGGGTTTCCCATCTCTTCTTTCCCTCTAGAAGTTCAGAGCCCCTTTCTCTTACAAGACACACATCACCTACATCATCCTACATCATCCTACATCATCCTACATCATCCCTGGCCTGGACAGCCCTTGTAACAGGAGGCACATCTGCAGTGGCTGGGGCTGGCAGCACCCAACTTGAAATGAGTCCTGCAGTTGGCTACGTTACAAAGGGGGCTTTTAACAGGTGTGAGGAAATTTCATACTGTTGAGAAATGTGGCAGCCACTTGGAGGTGGTAGTGAGCAAAGGTTTTAATGGAACTAATGTTTAAAAGAAAATCTAGTTATGATAAAAAATTGCAAAGCTGCTGGACACCTATGAAATGTGCTATAAAAGTAGATGCCATTTGAAAAATAATTTCATTGATAGGGCAGAAGCATAGCTGCTATTTCTCTATGGTTGGTAAATTAGTGGCCACTGAAAGAAATCAGGCTTATTTCATTCTCAGTAAACAGAGCACAAGGTTGGCTGTAAATGGTCTGTTTAGCAGAATAGACTGAACATCTGAAAAATTATTCATTAAGGACATTTACAACCCACACATGTCATTGATATCATTTGACCACTCTATTTATAAGATTTATTGTCTTTGGCAAAATAGGCAGCAAACATCCCTAACTGGGATGCAAATTTAATGCACAGTTTAGCTGACAGCTAAAAGGTTCATTCAGAGATTTTAATACATTTTCAACTTATGTTAGAGATGGTGGAGAGCAAATATATAGTCAATAGTCAAAATTATTTCACAAATGTAGTATTCTAATTTCACAATTTTTATATATTATAATTTTTATATATTATAATTTTTATATATTTGTCAATATTACAAGACTGGCTTTAGGACTTTCTTTTCTGGCAAAATATACAAAGTTAACAAACTAGATTTTGTCATGAAATCAAGTATGTGAGAAATCTAAACAAATTAACAACTGTTAAGTATTTTTCAGACTAACTGCAAACCAGCTTCTACCAAATTCCTTGTACAGGTTTGATAGCTCTAAGCCTCTAGTACCTGCCCACTGACAGAAGAGATTTGTTACAGGTCATAAATTATTGTCAAATACTTCCATTTAGCAGTCACTGAAGTGAAATGCAATGCATGTAAGTACTTGAGACATAATGTTGGCTAGCACCAGCCAGATGAAGCCTGATCTACGTCTTAAATTCAGGGTAAGTTTTGCATTGATTTTAATGGAAGTCTGATCAGAATTACTGGCTATATCTGTACAGACTGTCTATGGCACTGATGCTGGCAGGCCTGAAGAGTCCTCTTAGCTTTATTAGCGCTATAGAATACTGTCACCATTCAAAACAGACTGGCTGCCTGAAGCCAGCCCGTTAGGAAGGGTTCCTTGCCTTCCCTGGTTCCTAAGCCACACCCAGGAGCTGTGCTGGCTGGACAGGGCTGAAGCTGTGCCCGGGAATGTTTAACAGCACGGGCAGCTGAGTTTCAGCATTGCCACTCCATTTACCAGCACAGACGCAGTCACTGTGCAAGTCACCAGGTAGGTAAGGCACTGTGCACTGGTTAAGCACCAGGCAAACCCCTCCACTTATTTGCAGTTAATCCCACACTGCTTAAATTGCCTTTTGATTCTGCTAATATTTGAGGAGACCTGGGTCACCAGCTGACATTGAAGTAATTTCCCTTTTGTTTTCTACATATATTTAAACCCATGTTGTAGATGTTAAAATTTTTCTGCATTGTAAAAAATCTGTATAAAGTACTAATTTCCTTTAGATCATAAAGCTCTGAATCTTTCTAATAATGTAATACTTGTTTCCTATTTTTTAAAATCTGAACGGCTAGGAAAGCATGCTTATGCCAAATATTATTACTATTCAATTCCTATGCAAGAACATTTCCCATGATTCCCATAGAAACTACACGCTAGTCTCTGTCCTTACCTGCATATTTTCCTGAATTTCCTGCACAGTGATTATAATTTTTTAATCTTTTGATGAACACAAAAGTGTTTACTCCTATCTTAGTAACAAGCTGTGCCTGTGCCTGGAGTTTTTAGAATGTGTGACTAAAGTGCACTGTAAAATATGCTTAGATACACTGTAAGAAACTTGTAGAAACTTGTGGGTCAGCTGCCCTTGAACAATTCAATTTACTGTAATAATCTGCAAATAAGAAGTGGAGGTTTTCTCCATTTACACAACGCTGCCAACAAAAATACCAGGCTACTCAGAAGTGCAGAAAAAAAAGAGGTGTTACTTCATATGGGAATAGAAACCGATCCCTTTTGATGTGAATTGCACCTTCTTACACGTATATCACTACGTACTACACCTGTGACTGTTTAACTGTCATCATCTAAAAATCACATTAGTGAAAACAGACTTCAATAAGTAGCATACTTGAATCATTAATAGACCATTAGTTGTTTCTCACACAGTCATTTAGAAAGTTGCTGATATTACCATGTTTTCATTTGTAAAGTTTCCTTTTGTGGTAAAGGGAATGTTTGTTTCCTTTGTTATTCAAAGTAATATAGGACTATCAAAATTTCTTTAAGAGAAATTACAGCTATAATGGTTTTTTTTTTCTTTAATTATAAATGATATAAAGTCCCTGTGCATGACCCTTTACATCCTGTTTTGTACTGTCTCTCTCCCATAAGGATGAAACTTTCCTGTCATCCTTCAATACTAGGTTGAACTCTCTTTTGAGTAAATAGGTCCAGTGCTTGGCCAGAATGACCTATATCCTGCAGCTCAGCCACCTCTGCAAGCTTAGCCCATATGTGAATATTGACAGAAGTTCTAGAAACTGATTTTTCTCTTCTAAGCCAGTTTGCTACGAAAAAATTTGCATACATACCAAACATAAGCACAACATGTCTGTATCTCATTTCTGCTCTTTTGCACTGCTACCATGCTATAAAGGGAAATTCATAAAAACAATAATACAAACATGACTACACTCAGCTTTGCTTAAAAAGTGAGAAGATCGAGTCCTTAATTTGCTTCCATTAAAATGCTATGGATTTCTGCAAAACAGGGATAGGTTAGTCACTGTTTATCACTAAATACCACAGCTTTGCACAGAAAAATAGAGTGTGAATAAAAATGTCAAACTTCGCATCTGATTGTCTATTGCATTGTATGAAGAACTTACTTTATTGACTGGAAGAATGCTTTTCACATTGAAGTAGAATCCAAAGTAAACCATGTTAAAAACTCCGTGACGGCCCAGTGTTGCAGTAAGGCCTTTGTTGAGTCCTTGGAAGCCCAGACCACCGGTTTTTATGATCTGCTGAGCTTGAACAAAGCTAGATGGTTGCTACACAAGTTAAGCAAAAGAAGGAAGAGATCATCTTTACAAAACGAAAACAATAAACATAGCATCATTTCTATGCTGTTGACAAACACAGTGTTGCCAATTTTTGCAATTTTATAGTAAGTATCACTGTATTTGTTATTTTCCCTTTCCTGTGACCAATAAAACCCACAACTTTAATTAAAAAAGATTCCTCATTTTTCTGATTGCAGAATAAGATGAAAGCAGAAACTGAGTACTGTAAAAGAGTAGTACTTTAACAGCTTTCCATTTCATAAAAGACAAAAAGGAAAGAACTGCCTCATGTCAGACAGAATCTGCCTGACTACATGCACCTTTGATCTTTTTTTGAATATACCGTGATATTCAGAATTAGCTATTCCCCCTCTGAATATTTTACATATTTTAGCAGCTTTATAGAAACATTACTTTCAAAAAGATGTTGAATAGAGTTTGGCTTTCTCCAATGCATAAAGCCAAAAAAAGCCATAAAGCCATAAAGCTCTGGGTAACCAAATCTATAATTAGAAAGGCAAAACATGACTTCCACTAGGAGGTTCAGACATGAAAATATAGAAGAATTTTGACTACACCACCGTGAATACCACTAATTTCAATACACTTATTTGTTTAATAGCTTTCCATTTCAAAATATCGCTGTGGTAGATCAACAGCATCAGCCAAATGATGCTACTATATCTGACACAGCATATGACTGCTTATTTAAGTGGCTGATGAGTTTAATCTTTAATACAAAGTTTCATTTTGTTTTTTCATATTTCGCAACTAATATAATCCTGCTAATGGTCTGCATATATTTCACTGGAGTTTACTTTTCTATCTACTCCCAAGAATTCAAGACAGAATCTATTCCAAAATGGAGATACAAAACATGGATACTAGCAATAACATCGTTTTTTGTGCTCCAAAAATGGATGTTAGATCTTCAAGAAATAAAAGAGCAACCTTCAATATTAAGGTATCCCATAGTATCCCTTGTCTTGAGTATGGATTTACTCATGACTCAAGGGGAAGCCTGTCACTTGCTGAACACCTGAGATAGGATTAATAAGCCCAAATATAGACACCCGCAGTGTCTACACCTGACTTCCCTTTTCAGTCCTGTAGTTACAAAGAGGACTCTCTTTGGCAGCACTTCCCTTTTACCAAAGGAGGTGTTATCATGTCAATTGAGCAAGCCATAAAAGGTCTGCAGTTCATCATTGATGATGGAAGGACCTTAGACAGAGGAATTTATTGTACAAACATCTGGAGTTAGTGTATTTCACACAGCTGTTGACTTTTACTTAATATAGACCTATTCAGTGGAATCTGGAGTCAGATTCTTCTCATCATAAGGCAGAAAATTGTATTTGTTTAATTAATCATAACTCTTGTGTCAGGTGAGAAGATTTTATTCAACACACCAGCTTCTATAGCCAGTGAGTTATCCAGGGCTACAGGGAAAGGGAAAAAAAAAAAGGAAAACCAAACAACATGGTGTTGGAGTTCTTGCAGTCTACTTTAACAAAAAGCCACCATTATTTTTACCCACAGCAATCTCCCTTACAAAAGGGCTGATACGTGATTTATAGTGGCCTTCCTCTTTAAATCTATCAACCCTGGAAAGATGATCTGCTACCACAGAACAATTCAGCTGTCACTGCAGGGTGTGAATATTTGCTTTGGGGGTGTGCTGGAGTCTGGGTGTGAGTGTATGTGCTCATGCTCTTCCTTGTTCCTTTTAAACAAGATATATTTATTATTTCTATACAATAGTCAAAGAAATATGTGAACTGCATTAGGTTTCATCATGTAGTATGAAAGCTCCACAATGGGATAGGTACACACTTTACTTAAACCTTTTAGAAAAACAGTGCATGGTAATGCCTTATGCTGTATAATATAACCTCTGGACATGCTTCTTCCAATGGGCTTGAGTTTACATGCTTTACTGTGGAATGTTCTTTAGCATTTTCTTAATGAGAACTCGATGTCAAGGTATTAAGTCACCGGAGTTTTTTCTAATTAACAGCAAATTTTAAAGTTCTAACACTTTAGAAAGATACATGAAAAATTAACATGTCTCTGATAGAACAATCTTTGTGATTTAAGAACTTAATTTCGCTTGGATTTTTTCCCCTAGATCAAGTAGTTAATATTTTCAATGTAAACTAGGTTTCTAGTAGGGTCCAAATACTATTCTGTCACAATTTTATTTGTATGATAATATACTATTATTTGTATTTTGTGAAATTTTGCATTTAAATTAAATTAGAGAATATTCACCTGAACAAAAACAACTCAGAATGCTTTTGGACAGCTGCAGTTTGATTATTGTATTATTCTGAAGGTCAGCAAGAAAGGGAGGCTGTAATTAAAGGAAATAATTGGCTAAAATTTACAAACTAAACTACACCAGATTTTGTTATAAATTTTGCAGTAGAGAAAAAATTAAAATGTATGAAGTGAAAAGATACATTGGTCTTTTTCAATTTTACAAGGAATAATTTGTTCAAAATATACCGTGGTTTATACTTAAAAGCAGAGGTGTTTTTTTAAGCTAAGATAATTACATCTTCACAACTGTGAAGCAGAAAGATCCAGAATATCTGTTCACTACTGCTAGAGGAGTAATAGTCAATTTTTATCACATCATCTTCTTGAGAGACAGACCCTCTCACACATTGCTTTTTCCTACTTTCAGTCTCTCTCCTTCCAGGATCCTAAACTCCTGCTCTGCATTATTTATCTGTTCAGTGGCTTTGCTGCCCAAGTTTAAAAAATGTCTAGACTGGAGACTTGCAGCAAATAAACATGTCTTTCATATGCATTAAGAATCGAACAGGAGTTTACCAAATATTTTAAAATTTATTCTGGAAGAAAATGCTTTTCTGGATGAGTTATGGAGTAGGTACCAGTTACTCTATGACATATGGAAATCAGTAGCTGTATTTTTCCAGAGTGTACCTGAGAAGCTTGGCCCCAACAGATTATGTAAATGGCCAGGTCATAAATCTCTTTACTGTGCACCCCCCAAAACTGTTCAATTTATGCAGAAGAGTGCTACAAGACATGCAAGTATTAACTCAGTCAAAACTTAATAGTAGAATATGCAAAAACCAAGTCCCACCAGGGATTCAGCTAACCTTTTCATGTGAACGCTTATGTGATTTGGCACTTCTACCATGGTACAGCTGATTTCTCAAAAGATTTTGAAAAAGTTGATTTGACAATTGTTATTTTTATTAAATGAGAAAAGGAAAAAGGAACTTCATTACTGCCTGCCTTCCCTTTATCCTGGAACATGTTCTGCATTAAAATTAATAGAAGCTAGTGCATTCCTGAGAACACTTGATTTTCATGAATCACTGTTTTCCAGTTTAATATTTTTCCCCTTTCAGCAGTACCCAGAATTGTGGATAATGTTTTGTACAATGACTTCTTTGGACGAAACAATATTTGAATAATAAAACTCTGAAGTTAAGCAAGAATTTAAATTATCAATGTACTTGTTATATAACAATTTTCCAGTTTGTACTAATAAAAGTGAAGTCTTGTAAGTAATTTCATCCAAGAAACATTGCATAAAATCCAGCAGCTGGACTCTGTCTAGGGCACAGGGCCAGGGTGTTTTACGCTAACCTTCAGTGCTCACTTGAAATCTGGAGCCTGCTGGGGTAAATGTGCTGTGTCTGAGGGGCTCAGGTTTGTACTCCTGGATTACAGTTCCTCACAGTGCTGGGTTGCTGGAAGGGATGAAGGTGCATTTCAGGCACAGAATATTGACAGGGGAGATGCTGATGCCTCTGAAAATACTGCAGGCTTCTCTGCTTACCTGAAGGCATTGGCTGTTGGGTCTCTTCTGTTTCTGTTGAGCTTGTGGGGAAATCATTTGCATCCACCAATATATTAAAGGCATTCTGCTCTAAATATGAACCTCGAAGTGCATTATGCCAAATAAAATGGAAAAAGGAGAAGGAAGCAGTTTTCATACCTCTGTGAAGGCATTCTGATTGGTCTGTAAGGTAACCTTCACTACTTCAAACGGGTTAACCACAACTGCCTCTGTCAAACCAGATCCCAAGCCAGCAACTGCAAATGCCTAGGAAAGTTTCAAATGAAAATTGAGTATTAAGGAGTAATACTTCCTCTACATCAGATTGTGAAACTGAGGGATACAATGCAAACTGCAAGGCTACAGTAATGCAGCAGTATTCTATTGCTAAACAACTTTAGCCCTTCATAGATGCTGACAGTTCATGAAGACAGTATGACAATAGCCATAAACCATATTCCAAAACAATCAAAACAAAATGTCGTAGCACTCCATGTGCATGTATTCTCTTTTCAGCTGGAAGCGAAAATATGGCACCAAATGATTACGCAAACATGGAAAAAGTGGCAAAAGAATGTCCTCATGTTATCTTTGGGTGGACTCTGAATAATAACACAAATGTAAGTGCAGTTATGCAGCTCTGGAAAAAATAAAATCTCTGAACCGAGCACGAAGTACATAACACTAACATATTAACTTAAAAATACATGTAAACAACTAAAATAGTTCAGTACTTAAGCAAATTGCACAAGCAGAATGTTCACTTAGTAGTTAAAAATGCTAGAAAGGTTTATATGGGAATGAGTGGCACACAGGGAAATGTCAGCATTCATTGCAAGGATGAGTTAACTCCATTTACTTAGAAGGCTGGTGGCATTTCAGTCATAGATATGGCGATATTCACTGTTTTGCTTTCCATCACAGCACAGCATTTTAAAATACCTTAATGTTTTTTAAACAAAAAATAGTGTTAAAATATTTAGGTCAATTGAGAAAGTTCTGAGGGGTTAAGTTTAATGATCACTTTACACATTTATTGCCTTCACTTAACATCCCCAAAGTCTCCAGGTACTGAAAAAAGTCCCAGGACCAAAACACATTCTAATGAATCCATTATTTGAAATTCAAAGAAACCCATACTAAGGAAAAAAACAATAGTGAGAAAAAACTTACTTAAAGCAGAGGGATTTGAGCAGGGACTCCTGAGAGCTCAAGAAAAAAAGGAATGAAAACTTAGAAGTCTTACTGCCTTTGGAGAAGATTGTGTTACTGAAAAATTGAATTTTCCAGTAAGATGGGAACATTTCATCATCAACCATGAGACTGAAGCCAGTAGAAAGATGGTGCTAATGTATGTATCTGTCTTTTAATAAGAAATATTTCCTTGATATGAGGTCTGTTGAGGTACCTAGAAACATTCTGCTGGGTTTAGACCAGAATCCCCCTCAGTCTGCTTTTTCCCTCACTACCTTAGGACCAAAAATGCTTCTATAGTAACAGTACTAGACCAAAAATGTGAGGGGTTTCTGATTGTTCTAAGCTTTGCTCTATCTGTTCTATGAATCACAGCAGCTTTAGGGCAGCTATTGCATGTTAACAAATTTTCAGCCTATTTTTCTTCCCCCCAGAAGAGTGCTGGGGTACCACAGAACCTTCAACTCTGTACTTTCCACTTGCTAGAGAACAAGTATCAGTCTCTCTCTATACACTTAAGGATGAGAACTGCTGAAAAATACCAGATAAAGTAGAAGAGACTGCAAACAGGAATAATTAAGAGGAAGAGGCAACTTGCTTTAACCTAGTTAATAGAATTCCATGACCATTAACTCACTGCAGTTAAAGGGAGATGTAACTGGAAGTAATACTCTTTTAAAGAGACTTGAAACTACCAAAACCTTTATAGCACAGCCTTAAAAAGATCAATTGTTTCCTAAAGTTGTGATGTCATCATAGTGAAAAATATATATTTACTATGATTTACATTCTTACATCACAGGAAGCAGTAGCTCTTATAAAAAGTATTTTACTCCTAATGCACAATAGCAGAATTAAGATCTACACATGAGAATGCAGATTACACATGTAAGCTCCATCTAAGCATTAAAACATTTCTGTGTATATGTACACCCTGCACATTGTTTTTAAACCAGTTATTTCTTGAGAGGAATTCCTAACTCCACTGATGGACAAGAGAGTTTTGCCATTTGCTTCAAAGGAAGTAGCAATTTCTTATCAATAACTTATGTTTCTTTTATAAAGTCTTTAAAACAAGAGTGAGATCTGTATTTTTGTTATAGTTGTACTGTGCCTTGGAGAATAGCACTGTGAGATTGTGTAACACTGAAGTGTTACACTAGACACGAATAAATAAATATTGATAATGTTCAACTTTTTTTGTAATTTTGTAAGAATGAAGAATGACAAGCTGTAGACAGACTCTTCCATGGTGGCTCTTGTTATCCATGTTTATGAATTTTGTGATGTTGTAGGGAATTGTTTTGAGGACATTTGATATAAAACATAATTTATCAATTTTGATATATTCTTATCAATATTTTCTTATCAAGGGACAGGTTTGTTTTGAAAAACTCTGAATTGAGCGGGACCCTTTAATTTTGGGCTTCTTCTATGGGAGGAAGCAGATGAGACAGACTGCTCAGCACACACATTCTACATCAGAACACGAAGTTCTGTATCCATACATACCAGTCCTGGTGGCAATGACGCATATCCCAGAAGCTTCTTGTATTGTTCAAAGGTAAAAAACTGTGAATAGAAGTTAGATTGAAATTGAGCTGAAAGAAATTATTAGTTACTTATACAAATTAGTAAAAAGCAGACTACAATGGAGTTTCACTACCTCACATCCTGAGCAGCTGCACGCAGTTCTGCAAAATAAACGTAAGCCACTTTTATTTCATGCTCTCCGTAGCAGTGTTAGATGTGCAAGAGTAGACAATCAGGCTTCAGGACTGATTTTATTAGTGTGTCATGCATAGTAGCAGCACAAGTGCAATTCAAGTAATGTTTTATCCAGGGGCTCACTTACATCATATAGGACCTATTTTAAATTTATAAACTTTTCCTCTGGCATTAACTTTCATATACTAGTTTAAAGGTAGTAGCAGATATTACAGTTTTCCCAAGAAATCACCCCCACATCCTTAATGTAATGTGATGCAATCACTTTTGCATTTCTCAAACACTAGTCTGCTTCTCATCAGAGAGATATAATTGTGGATTTTGAAGATGGAAAGTCTGCCATTTTTATAATCTTCTACTGTCAACAGGTACATTTCTTTTCCTGTTCTCTCTGTCCAAATAAATATTTCATTCAGTTGTCTGCTTTCAAACAGTGGCACTTCAAAGTTCTGAGCATCTGCAATCCCTTAGAGGATGTCTTGAAAGCTGTACTCATGGGTGTTTGAATCTCAAGAAAAAAGTAAAATTGGCTCCACCTGCAGCAACATGGTGAAAGGCAATGGCTCACTTTGCAACCTACCATTTCTTGACACCCAAACACATTAGTTTTAAGAATATTGTCTGTGAATTCTTATGAAAATCAAAGCATAATAAATGAATGGATTTGTTCTTCCAAGAAGAAAGTTTAGAACAACTCTGACCGCACTGAAGTTAGGAGGAAGCTTCCTGTCGGCACAGGCAAACAGACTTTCACTGCCTAGCTCCTTGTCTGTGGACACGAAGCCTGAGATGCATAGGTCAAGATATACTCTAGAGAAAGAGAATATGTGACGTTTTACATGTTATTGGGAAGATGCCCTCTGAAATACAGCACGCAATCTAGGCCACTATTTAAAAAACAACTCAGACTACATCATATTCAAAACAGGGCTACCAGGAGCATTAAGGAGAACTTAGAGATTATTTTAAGAATGAAGACTGAAGGAGAGTAACTGCTTTCCTTGTTTAGTTTAGCAAAAGAGATGCTGCAAGAGAATGACAAACAAGGAAGATATGTAACATAAAGAAACTAGGTGTAAAAGCAAAATATACTCATAAGTAGAATGTGGCTGAAGATCTGATGAAGCTTTCCTGCAACAAAAAGAATCCTGAAACAGTTTTCCAATAAGAACAATGGGGAAAAAAATCTTTATGTCTTGAAGGGGAGAGTTTGATAATTTATGAAGGAGATTACAGAACAAACCCCATAGAGTCTTAAATTCATATTCTGCAAACATGTTACTGAAGCCACTGGAAAAGCAGTCCAGTTGCTATGACATAAGACAGATCTGAGGGCAGTGAAAATGATCTTCTAGCAGGAAGATGGCAGAAATTGTGGACTTTTAAAAAGAGTAGGTATCTGAACTCTTGGTAACACCAAAAATATTGGAGGTGTTATTCCACATAGTTTTCACACATGGAACAACACAAGCTAACCACAGCTCGCTATTTGTGAGTCCTGTAATCTGTCTAAGAAATATTCACGTCTTTGCATGCAAAATAAAGTGGCTTTTACACAGCATGTCTGGTATGAGGGGAATGAAGAACAAAAACCTGCCACAGTTCCACCAAGACTGCATCAGTGCAGGTTCATAGCTCCTAGTACAAGAGCTGTCACCTCCGGTAGCAAAAGTAAATAGCCAGAACTTTTAACTTTCCTGTCTGCTTTCCAATATTGACCTGTGACATTTGATTAGTTCAGAGCAAGCTGGTTCAAATGAAGGTGGGATCCTTGGAAAGTCAGTGAATTCTGCGACCACAGAGGGGGCTAAAGTCCCTCCACACAGCATTTGCTGATGCATGAGACAACCAAACTTTTTCACCACGAGAGGAAGGCAATGAGCAATGAGGCCAATGGAAATGTGGGAATCATAAGAAACATAAGGGGATAGAATTTTCAAGACAAGAGAGAAAGACTGTGTGGCCTGTGCTGAGTCTCAGCCAAAGAAGACAAGCTCTGTCCCTCACGGTTCGGTACTACAGACCTATCAGAACAAACCAGCTATTCCATAAACCACGTGTACAGGAACATAAGTAATAAGCACCACATTTTCATTTGAACTTGTTTAGAACCTTGTCCTATGGCAAAGTCAATAAAATTTTTCAATCAAAACCTGCTTCAAATGAAAAGTCACTGGCATCATACCAAAACCAATGGAGAATTGGGTGTTAGTGTGTTAATAATGCCACTACCTTAAAGCAAGATGGAATATGTATGCATAAGCAAAATTGGGTTGTTAAATTCTGGAAAATGATGGCTGATACTCTGGTCATTGGACAGCTATTTTTTTATATCCTCAGTTGGGATTATTATATCATTTTGCAGAAAAGATCCTAGAACTGGGACCCAGATTTTGACTACCCTCCAAAGAGTGTAAAGATTGAACATTAATCTTGCAAGCATCTTGCAAATATGTTTAAAATTTTTGCATTGGCCTTGACAATAACCAAAAAAGATAGAAGTGTTAAACTCTAACTCTATCTTTTTGAAGGTATGATAGAGGTCTGATAAAGTGGGAGGGTAAGCTGCTTCCCTGAACTAAATTAATTTCTTATTGTGATAAAATTTGCTTTATTCTCTCTCCAGCATCTTTCTAGTCATTGTTACCCTCTTAACCTTTAATGGAATTTCTGGTATTCCTTAATGTTTTCCATAGTGTTACAGATCTGTAAAATAGTTGTAATAAAGGCAGAATTACATTACCCAGCAATTTTTTTGGTCTTTAAATGTTACCTTAAAAATCAATAGCTTCCTAGAGTCATAAATAAAATAACTACTTAATAGTAACTATGCTTTAAACAATTTTTAAAAGAAAAAAATCACTAGCAATAAAATTCCATATAAATGTTGCTGCGTGTACTAGAGTGGCTAGTATACATACAATTTTTCAAAAAAGAAAAATTTCATACTGTATCATATGACTTTATATATTTCCACCCAAAATGTTTTTAAAAACACAGCATAATTTGTCTTTTCCTCTACAGTTGTATTAAGTTAATAGCTTTGTGCAAAAAAATTTCTCAGAATAAACGTATTTAAAACATGCTTTTGTGTATATAGTAACCAATATTGTCCATCTGGCAAAGATACACTTTAATTGAAGTTACACAGAAAATAGCCAAAGTACTTACCAGATGTCTCAATAATGCTAAGATAAAAATATATGCTTGAAACAAGATGTCTGGGAACACATGAGCAATATAAATTTGCCCCAAAAGTTCATCTGCTAACCATTGTATTGGCATCATCATTTCTTTCCTCCAAGTTCAATCTAACAGAAAGTTATAAACTTTGACTTTTCATCTTCCAGAAATACCAGCTTTCTTTTTAGAAGGGAAATAAAAAGAGAGAAAAAAAGAAATAGCAAGACAGACATGAGAACATAGTTGACTAAAAATGAAGCTGTATCTTCAACACTTAACTGAAAAACTGGGGCTAAATAACTTCATTTTAATAGCTTTATTTTTACTTGCAAAAATGCACACCACATAAATACAATATTCCAGTAGCACAAGTACATTTTTTTTAGTACAAAATCTCCCTTGTCTATTCTCTACACACTTTTATGACATTACAACCAAAAGCTTTCAAAAAACTTAATTACAAATATAAAAAGAAGCTACTGGAACCTAGACAATGCCCCTCTTCCTTTTGTGCTTTCTCAAATCTCAGAATCATTGGCCTGAATTTAGTCTTCCTCTAAATCTCACTAGTCATTTAGGCAGTCGAGAAGGGACAGCTTGAGGCTTGTTTAGATGAGGAAAACTACTAGAAGAGTAAAGGTTGGAGGGTGGGCCAAAGGAAGCAATGACTTTTCCTTTGGGGTCGTAGCCAAATAAGGTTAGTGGAAATTTGAGATAGGCTGGATTCTCTTCAGGTCAAAGCATGGGTACAAATTCCACTTTGGATGCTAAAAATTGTACTGGCATATGACATCTCACATGGAATTGTTTCATTATACAGGTCCTTACAAGGACATTATTGTTCAGCCCTGTTCTCTCACTGAATTCTTCTAATGTAGAATACAGCTGATGTCTCATAAAAGCTACCCTGATGTCCTTGGAACAGCAGTAAATTTAAAGGAATATTGTAAATGATAAAAGAATTAAACTATTTAATTAAAACCCTCACATGTTTTACATTTAAGCTTGATTCTCATGTTTGCAAAAAACTCAGCTCTCACATAAATGTCCAAGACCCAGGTAGATAGCATCCCAGGAAGAGAGGACAAGTAAGACTTTAAAGGAGCCTTGAGCTCTTGATGTGCAAGAGTTTGAAACAACTGAGTCTGTTTAGCCTGGAGACAAGAAAGATAAGGTGATTTAAGTTCTGTCTTCCACCATCCCAATTTTACATGAAAGAGTCAGACTTTCTCAGAGGCAGACAACAGAAGTCTGAGAGTCAACACACAAAGGTTGCAACAGGAGGATTTGGACTGGGTATAAGGCAAAATTCTTCACAGTAAAAGAGTTAAGGACTGGAGGAGGAGCACAGAGAGGCTGCAGTCTCCATTCTTTAAGATTTCAGAACTCAACTAGACAAGGCATATGAACATCCTGATGTAACCATGAAGTCAGCTCTGCTTTGATCAGAGATCCTTCCCAACTGAAAATCTTTTTATGATTTTATAAGTATATTGAATATCATGGGGTTTAAACCAGTTTAATAAATTTGAGTAAAGGAAAGTGATTTGAAGGTTATGAATGACTCAGATTAGTAGGAGAAATAAAATGGGTTAGTATTTTAACTAAATACATGCTGGAATCTAAAAAGCACAGTCAGATTTACTTTACATCACAATATGAAGAAAACAAGTTATTAGTAATCTTCTAAATATTATCCATCTATTCTTCACTGCTACTTTGCCATTAAATAGGACTTTAGTTTTTCTGGTTTTATTAAATAATTTTGAGATAAGTGACATATGTCACTTGCATCTAAAATGCCAATGCAAACAAGAAGATGACATTACCAGAACTCCTTTAGGATTCTGTTACAAGGTCACATCCTGTCACTTTATACAAATATTATTCCTCTGTAAAGGAATTGGAATGTGAATGATTAATTGCAGACTAAGGACCAGAATCATATGCAGCCTTTTTAGAAAGAAACAACAACAAGAAAGAAAGGAAAATCAAGACATTCTGTATAATAACTGCTTTTAGACACATTTGGTGCAACTATGGAGACTTCAGAGTTCTGAAATAAAAGACTAAGAAACATTTGGTCTTAACACAATAGCTGCTTTGATAGATTTAGAACTTTAGAATGATGTTCTTAATAATTAGGTTTTAATTAAAAAGGTTGAATGGTTCAACTGAAAAAAATTGATGTATTGAAGTATTTTGCTTAGAAATGTTACTAAAATCCTGTTCTACAAATCAAAATAAAGGATAATAAAAGAAAATCAGATCAGCATTTGACAGAAAATACACTGTGATAGGCTAGCATCTATAACTGTAAGAGAGCTGGAGTAAAATATTTTGCACAATGAGGAGCTGTATCCATTACAATCTTCAAACTCTTAAAAAGATAGAGTATTGAGCAGAGTGCTCTTTGGAGCACAAAAAAACTCCGGGCAGCACTTCAAACCTACTAAATAAGTACTTATTAGTGGCTTCTTTAATGGCTTCTTGTGTTAATTTATTAAGCTGTTAGTTGTTTTGCAAGTTGCTAGGCATTTTCAGTAAAACAAAATATGTAAACCAGAGGCAATGATGAGGCTAAAATATAAGTTAAACATTTTATTAATTCTGACAATATAAAATAATTGCAACCTTTTTTTTTTCAGTAGCATTTGATACACAGGTCAAAATTAGCTTAACATTTACGAGCCTTATCCTACACTTCTTAATCAAGGACAGTTTTTATTGTGCTATCAACAGGAAACTTTCCTCCTAGTAAAAATCAGAGGATTAATATGCCAAATAAGTTTAAGATTCTAATCTCAGTTAGTGGGGGAGAAATAAAATGTTTTACAGCTGCCACTGTCCCTAGTTATACTTTTAAGGGAGGAAGCATGGGGTTTTTACCTTCACTGCCCTTTTGGGTGTCTCAGCCAAAACGGGAGGAAGTATTCCTTTGTAGAAGCCAAGAAATCTATTGAAGAAAAAAATAAATTATTTTTGTATGGATAAAAAATATATAAATACCATACCATCAATTTTATTTCCACTTTTGAGTAAAGCAATTAAACTTTCAGCATTTCCAGGCATACAGACAAATAATGATACTCTCTGCTTACTTGCTAAACAGCTAATGTGCTACCAATTATATAAGGTGCTGGTGAGATGATATAAAGAAATCAGCAATAAATACGTAAAATATCAAGCAATTTTATTCTGAAATACAAGAAATTGTATTTAAAAGGTGAACATGAAAAGGAGGAACATTTTTGACAATGAAAAAGAAGTATTATTTCATTGTTTTAATTTGCTTAGCACAGCAATGTTTATATTAAAAACTTAAGTTACAAAATCACAAAATACAGATTTGGAAAAAACTGTGACTTCAGCAAGTTGCATACAAAACCACTTTTTGCTCATCTTCAGATGGTAGCTGAGGCATATTTTGAAGTATAATTTTAAACATGACTCAAAATGTATTTTTTCTTTTAGCACTTAGTTTTAACCTGAGTTACCTATTCAGAAATTGTATGCATTTTATCTTGGAAAAAAACATTTGGGCAGTACCTTGTCACTGTATGTGTGTATATATATCTATATCTCCCTATCTCTATGTCTATCTATCTACAATCTGCTACACGCCAGCACACAGGGCATCTGCAGGCAGCCTGAGCTCTGTTTACAAGGTCAGTGCGGATACGTAATGCTGGGTCTTGGGAATGCTTTGAATGACAAGCAGTTTTCAAAATGCGGGGTAGAAATAGACAATAGTCCTTGTCTGCTAGGTCTGCACACTAACCTGGATAGTGCATGGTGAGAGTTCAGAAAGGGATTTAACGGAATTACCAAGAAGAATCATAGAATGTTCACCACCTCCAGGGATGGTGACTCCACCACCTTTCTGGGCAAACTATTCCAATGTCTGACCAACTTAATAGTGAAAAAAAGTTTTTCAATATCTAATTTGCATTGTTCCTGTTTTAGCTTAAGGTCGTAAGTTACCTTGTTAGCCAACAAGAATATATCCTACAATTTGTCCATCTTCAGAATGTATACACATTTATTTAGGACTGTAAGAGGATTCTGTCTACACAAAAAAAAAAAAAAAAAAATACTTAAAGTGAAGCATTTGTGCTTTTAAAAATGTTGAGAGGTGGTGATGTCGGAATGTGATGATTCACCTTTCTAAAGCATCTTCATAAATGGAATATTTTTGTGAGACATGACATCAATAGATTATCCTACAGTTGATCTCTACTACAAATGCTATACCATTTTCCCCATCCTTCTTCAAACACTTCTCTGGAGTTCTCTGCTTGGGCATCTCCAATATAAATATAGTAATTTAGGCCTTTTAAGATGCTCTGAGTTGGGCAATCCTTACTCTGAAGAAAGCAATGTATGAACTCCAGTCCACAACTAAAGGACGCTGAGCATTTAACATGTGATGGTTTAATGACAAAATACTGAAAGGTAGGAGATTAAGGAATTCAGTTGTCATCAGATGTTTAAATTTCCCCAAAGTCTTACTTCCAAAGATAAATATACAAATACATATTTATGTATCTATTAACGTAGACATGGATATGCCTATAGATACCTATAGATATGGATATAACAATATAAATATACTGGATCCATAGGAGCATGCAATCATAGAAACACAGAATGGTTTGGTTGGAAGGGACCCTAAAAATCATTTAGTTCCAACCTTCCTGCCATAAGCAGGGAATCTTCTACTAGACCAGGTTACTCTGAGCCGCATCCAGGCTGGTCTTGGTCTTTATTCTTAGTCCTTATATTTTAGTCTTCAGTGGTTCATACATATTCAGAGCATACTGCTAACTCAGCAAGCAATTGAAATGTCAAATAACTTCAAGAAGGTGATGCATACATTTTAAGTTCAAACTGAAACTGAGGTCCAAGTAGGATCAGCTACAAAAACACAGATCCCTGTAAACACTTTCTTCCTTTCAGCTCAGTCTAAACCCCTGCAAGCATATCTACAACAGACATCCTGCTTGCAATTTCTACTATTCCACATGTTTGGAATTGGAAAATTAATGTCCTCCACTGCTTTACTCACTGGTGTCTCTCTCACTACAAAAAGTGAGACTTGATCCAGATTTTTTCATTAGTAAAAGTTGCCTAAGCAGAGAAATATGCAGTGTAGAGCAACAAATCAGTCTTAAAACTGTGACTTCAGCAAGTCTTAAAACTTGCAGCAGCATTACCCAGCCTTACACAGCACAACAGGTTCCTTTTCCAGGTTTCCTTTTTGTATATTCAAAATGCATGCAGCTATTGGATATATAAACCTTGTAGCATTTCCACAGTCTCTGAGGATATCAGAGAAAACTTTTCAGAGAGAATGTAGAAAGGATAAAGTAGGAATTTGAGCAGTACATTTGTCATCTTAGCAACCTTGTAAGACAGAGAGCAGCTCCTAAACAGCAATCCAGTATTAAACCACAAGTCAATATCGAAACACAGTGATTCAGGTCACCATTAGACCAGGCAGTGGATTATTTTAAAGTTCTAAAGAAATGGGAACTAAAAACATGAAAAGCAATTATCCATTGCTTCTGAATCACAGAAAAGTTGGTGACGAAAGGGACCTTTCGAGATCATGTGACCCAAGACCATGTGACCTTTGCTCAAGAAGGGCAACCTAGATCCAGTTGTCCAGGACCATGTCCAGACAGCTTCTAAGTATCTCCAAAGAACGACTACTCTTTAAGGAAGGAGATACCACAACTTCTCTGGGCAACCTGTGCCAGTGCGTAGCTATCCTCATAGTAAAAATGTTTTTCCTGATCTTCATATGGATCCCCTTGTGCTTCACTTTGTGTCCATTGCCTCTGGTGCTGTCTGAGCACCACTGAGACCCTTCCTTTAGGTACTCATGCACATTGATCAGATTCCCCTCTGAGCCTTCTCTCCTCCAGGCAGTTCTGTCTCTCTCAGTCTTTTCTTATGTGAAAGGTGCTCCAGTCTTTAGTCATTTTAGTGGTCCTTCAACTGAACTCTTTGTGTTATGCCCATATCTCTCTTGTACTGGGGAGCCCAGAATGACCCAGCACTCCACCTGTGGAAGTAAAGGAAGGAAGTAAACACCTTCCTTGACCTGCTGGCAGCTAAAGCAGCCCAGGATATCAGTACTGCCTTTGGTTGCAGGCCACATAGGTAGCTCATGCCCAGCTTGGTGTCCATGAAGACCTACAGGTGCTATGCTGTAAATCTGCGTTCCAGCTGATTTGCCCCGAATATAACATTAGTGTGTGGGATTATTCTTCCTCATGCACAGGACTTCACACTTCCCCTTGTTGAACTTCCTGAGGCTCCTGTCAGACCATTTCTCCAGCATGTCAAAGTCCACCCGACTGGCATTACAACCCTTTGGGATACCAGCCACTCTCCCGCATTTGTATCACCAGTAAACTTGTTGAGGGTACACCCTGCCCCATCATTCAGAATATTAATGAAGATGAACAGAGTTGGATCTAGTACTGACCACTGGGGTACACTGTTAGTTACTGGCCTCCAGTTAGACTTTGTCCCACTGACCACCACCCTCTGGGTCTGGCCATTCAGCCAGTTTTCAACCCAACTCAGTAAGTACCTACAGAAGCTTTTGACATCTTGTACCAAGCTCAACTCCAGGTAGGCTTTGACTTCCCTAACCAAGTCTCTGCATGCTCAGGCTGTCTCCATACTCCTCTCTTGTTACCTGTCCCTGCTTCCACCTTCTGTATGCTTTCTTTTTTATGTTTGAGTTTTCCCAGGACCTCCTACACAAGGCTCAACAAAACAGGTCTCTTGAGATCTTTGCCTGACTTTCTGCATGCTGGCATGGACTTGAGTGGAGGTGATCCTTGAATATTATGCAGGTTTCATGGACTCCTCTTCCCTCCAGAGCCCTTTATTATGGGACTTTTCCAAGCAGACCTCTGAATAAGTGACAGTTTGTTTTCCTGAAGTCTAGGGCTGTGAACTTGCTTTTTGCCCTGCTTCCTCTTCTCAGGATCTGAACTCCACCACCTCATGGTCACAACAACCAAGGCTCACTGTGACTATCACCCCTATGCGGCCTTTTTCATTTGTGTGTTAGAGCTCCAGTGGAACACTTCTCATTGACTCTCACTTGTATCAAGAAGTTATCATTAATGCTGCTGGATTGCTTATGCCCTGCAATGTTGTGCCTCCAGGAAATATGAAGTCCCCATTAAGGATCAGAGTGTGCTAACATCAGGCTGCTCCTGGTTGTCTCTACAGGGCCCCACCTGCTTGTTGTTCCAGGTCAGGCAGCCCATAGTAGATGCCTACCACCAAGTCACCACTATCGGTCTGCTCTTTAATCCTTACCCATAAACTCAATCAGCCGCAGGCAGAGCTCCATGCACTCCAGTTGTCTTTCTGGCCAGCCCTTCCTAATCAGTCTGTATCCCTCCACAGTAGCACTCAGTGCACTCACTGCATCCCTGGGATCCTGATGAGATCCTACCCCCGCAGCTGCACACAGATCTCCAGTTCCTCCTGTTTATATCCCACGCTGTGTGCCCTGGTGTGCAGGCTCTTCAGAGAAACTTCCTCACTCGCATGCAAATGCTTGAGGTGACCCCAGCTGAGCCCTGTTTATTCACATTGTGCTCCTCGTGGTTCACAGCACCCCAGGTGCTTTGCTTGGCAGCCTCTCCATCGCTCCCTCAGAGCTCTGGTAACTCCCCCCTCCCTCAGGGCTCCTGGTTTGAAGTCCCCTTTTAAAGGACTTTACCAGGAGCAGCCACACTGCAGCAGAGATACATGTGCAAAGATACCACTCTGCACCTGATGTCAGGCTGATCTGCTTATTGTAAGGCTGACACTGAAGGCTTTCTGCTGGGGGAACCGCTACTGTGAACCAGGAGAACCTGCAGAGCTGAGTAACTATATTCATGGCTCTATGAATCCCTAAAATGTGAAGGGCTCTGTAAG